GCGTGCGGGGGCCTAGCAAAAAAAAGTTTGGGAACCACTGGTTTAGGGGAAGGATACAGAAAGCTGTCTCAGAGATTTAAGCTGTCTGTTTCCACAGTTAGGAACATATTGAGAAAATGGAAGACCACAGGCTCAGTTCAAGATAGGCTCGAAGTGGCAAGAAAGTGACCAAGAAAAATCTCGGATAGACAGAAGTGATGAATGGTGAACAGTCAGAGTCGACCCACAGACCAGCACCAAAGACCTGCAACATCATCTTGCAGCAGATGGAGTCGCTGTGCATCGTTCAACCATTCGACGCACTTTACGCAAGGAGATGCTGTATGCGAGAGTGATGCAGAGGAAGCCTTTTCTCCGCCCACAGCACAAACAGAGCCGCTTGAGGTTTGCTAAAGCACATTTGGACAAACCAGCTTCATTCTGGAATAAGGTGCTGTGGACTGATGAAACTAAAATTGAGTTATTTGGGCATAACAAGGGGCGTTATGCATGGAGGAGAAAGAACACAGCATTCCAAGAAAAACACTTGCTACCTACAGTAAAATATGGTGGTGGATCCATCATGCTGTGGGGCTGTGTGGCCAGTGCAGGGACTGGGAATCTTGTCAAAGTTTAGGGACACATGGATCCCACTCAGTATCAGCAGATTCTGGAGACAGATGTCCAGGAATCAGTGACAAAGCTGAAGCTGCGCCGGGATCTTTCAACGACCTGAAACACTGCTGAAAATCCACTGAGGCTTTCATGCAGAGGAACAAGTACAACGTTCTGGAACGGCCATCTCAGTCCAGACCTGAATATTATTGAAAATCTGTGGTGTGAGTTAAAGAGAGCTGTCTATGCTTGGAAGCCATTAAACCTGAATGAACTAGAGATGTTTTGTAAAGAGGAATGGTCCAAAATAACTTCAACCACAATCCAGACTCTCATTGGAACCTACAGGAAGCGTTTAGAAGCTGTAATTTCTGCAAAAGGCGGATCTAATAAATATTGATTTTGGCTTTTTTTTGTGTTGCACACTTTCTGTAAATCCAGTAAACTTCATTTCACTTCTCAAATATCACTGTGTGTGTCTGCTATATGATATATTTAACTGACATTTTTTATTATAACAACCAACGATTTATACAGGAAAATAATGACTATGTAGTAGTTGCACTAAACTGTATTGTAAATCTTAAAAGTCATTCATACATGAAATACTTTTGTCTTTTGTTGTGGCTCAGTATTTGATTACAGCACTTTGTGTTCTGTTGCAGGAGCAGGAGCTTGTAGTTTCTTTGTTCTCCATTGATACTGGTCAGAGATTTCCACAACAACTTTTATGTGTCCAAGGTGTAACATTGTGTGTAGTATGTGTGTTATCCCATTATCAACTTGTATTTCTATTAAGAACGGTTTTGTGTTGGTGAATTCACTTATCTGTATGTCCACAGTGGAACAATATTACACTTAATGATGTACTTAATTGAATTTTCACTTCACTGTGTGTGTGTGTGTGTGTGTGTGTGTGTGTGTGTGTGTGTGTGTGTGTGTGTGTGTTTGGCTGGATGCACATTTGCAGCATTACACCCATCTTCACCCTCTCCAGTGTGTCTGGGGAGAATCTGGACCTCCTGAAGGTTTTTTTGAACATCCTTCCTCCACTGAGCAACAGCAAGGAGCAGGAAGAGCTGATGCAGCAGCTCACTGAGTTTCAGGTATCCAAACCCACACACACACATGTGCTTTTTTTCCATCACTTCTGGTGACATAGCCCTGACTTAAATTAATTTCCTCGAGATTTACTTTATCCTCAGTATAACTTTACCCAGTACTTCATTATTGAACATGCATCGGTTAAAACCAATAGTCATGACACTAGAGATGGACCGATCCGATATTACGTATCGGTATCGGTCCAATACTGACCTAAATTACTGGATCGGATATCGGAGAGAAATAAAAAATTTAATCTGATCCATTAAATATCACAAAAACACCTCACAAAACTTGTGACATGGCGTAACTCAGCTCATAACCTTAGCACGTCGAGCAGTATGCGTCACGTGATAGAGCGGCTGTGGCGTGCGAGACCTCCCAGTGGTCTGGTTGAGTATTTGGAGCCTCACTACCAAACCAGCATTTCATCTCCGAGAAGGTTATCCCAGAAAGAAGTAAAGCAAGTGTGTAAGTTCATCTCTGAATGTTTGTAAAGCATTCCCACGTTAAGCTTAACAACCGATATATGGAGCGACTGCCTCTTCTCTCCCCCTCCCTCTCCTGTTGCTACTTCAATCATGAAACTGATCAATAATCGGCTGATCGGCTTTTCTGTCACGACTCCGTCTCTCTTGTTTCTTTATCGGCCACTTTGCGCAAGAAAGAGGCTGAACAACAGCAGACTGCCCACCACAGCACTGAAACTGCGTTTTTAAAAGGTTTTAATGACCTTTTCACTTTTGCTCACTTGGGAGATTCTGCCATTTTAATACTATTAGACCTCAGTGCTGCCTTTGATACCGTAGATCATAGGATTCTTATCTTTCGGCTTGAACACTGTCGGAGTCAAAGGGACTGCATTGGAGTGGTTTAAATCTTATCTGTCCAACCAAACCAAAATTAGTTATTTTAAACACTTTACTACCTAAAGTGCATTTTTGGTGCTTTACATGTTTGCTGAACTGCTTCAAGTAAACAGAAGTCAAAAGTCAAACAAGAAGAATCATCATTCTCAAAAATCATATATCACTACATCTCCAAAAGTTGATTCTGTTCATCTGGACGTAG